GATTTTTTTTCATAGTTCACTGTTTATTTAATCACTATCAATCGACTCGTCTTCGTTCGTCAGGGCTTATTTCAGGTTTTTCTTCCAGAAATACAATTTTTTTACATTTAAATTCAGAAATAATTTAATATCAATGTTACTATATTTCAATTCTGCGCTGATTTATAATATCTACTTGCTTAAAACCAAGTGGCGTTTGTAAATTTAAGTAATTTTTTCAGACAAATATTTTTTTTATATATTTAAATGGTCTCGACATCAATAAATACTATATCGAAAATAAATAAACACAAGGAAAATGACGACAACCAATCAAAAATCAACTCTACTTAGCAATACAAAAAATATGAATTATGCAAAGGTGATGGAAAAACAAAATGTATTGGTGAAAGAAAAAATATTCTTTTTTTCATTAAAAATCACAGTATGGGAATTTACACTGCAGTCACGTACTTTTGATCCAATACATTTCTTTTTTGTTAATAACGTTATTATTGTGGTAATTTTATTATTTATATTCGAAATGAGATACTTTTCTTATTATAATTCCAATTTCATATTTTCATTTCTGATCATTTTTTGTCATAAATATATTAAGTTTATATTTAAGCAGAGGTAGCAAACATCTCTAACGTTCATAATATGTAATTCATATATTTTTTTATTATTTATTGGAATATGTTTATCAAAATAAATTACATTAATTTATTTTACAATGACCGGATTCATATTCTAGATTAAGACTAGACTAGACTAGATTCACTATTCTAAATTAAATTCTTGTTATGTGATAATCTCGGTCATAAAAATATAACCATCATACAAAAATCTCCATCAAGTAAAATAAAATAAAGTTATTTTCATTTAATATCGCAATCTCTTCATAGAATACAATTTATCCGAACTTATTAACATCACAACATCACACACTCAAACTTTTATTACGTTTTTGGGGGATTCATATGCAAATTCTTTCGTACCATTAATTCCGGAGGGTGCACAACGATATTTGAAATAAAAACGATTTATTGTACTTTTTCCAGTGTTTTACTTCTGGTTTTCTGGTGTCGTTGCTAAATGTATATATACATATGTATATTTGAAGAGAGGAATTTAGGAGACGGGTACATAAAGAGTAGGTTCAGTATGAGTATGCACTGACAAGACTTTTCATCTATACATCAAGACTGTACTTTGTGTATTATTAAATCGATATTATATTTAAAGTTAGTAAAGATAAAAAAAAAGAAAATTAAATGCATACCATACGATAAAAAGTTTAACTACATCGCGGTTTGATAAAATCTGACTATCAAGTCTTGCCTATACTAAATTTGTATACAATGGAAGTAATTACTAACGAGTTTTTCATTTGAGAAATGGTGAGAAAACAAATGAATTAAAAGAGCAAATTTAACTCATCATATTGAGTTTAAATAGATGATGGTTACTTTACATTTCATAATAAACTATAAAGCAGAGCCAATCTAAATCCCCGCCGGTCTACGCTACGTTAGTAAATTGGTTTGAAATATTCAGCAAAATAACGGACGAGTTTAATCCTCCTCTGACTACACTTTATAATTATATTGCACTAGTTTATCTATTTTTGATATCATGGCGATATTAGGCAACGTTTTATACAGTTTAATACGAATAATATATTTTGAATTAACCAAGACGTATAGCTAAACTAATATATGTACTAAATTTGACGTCACATCACTGAATATTCTTTTCAACTTATTTTATGATTCAACCCCTGTCATAAAACCGGGCAAAACTGGGAGAAACACCTCGTGTTATTTTTATCAATATTACAACGAAGGAATAATTTCCGTTCATAAATCATTATCTAAAATTATTAACCTGTTTTCATATCTAACACTATTTTAATTAGAAACACAATAGCTTAGTATCAAATATGTACATAGTATTTTAATTAAAAATTCTATTACGTTATATCGTCACATTATAAAATTAAAACACTCTCTTTAAACGTTCAAATATAATTGATTTGTCAAATTACTGCCTTGCTTATGGGAGTATATGGTTTGAATTATATGATGGTGATGATTTTCTAATAAAAAAAAATATAAATGTATATTGAATATATACTTGACGTCTCGCCTACTGTAAATTATAATCCAAATAGTGTTATTTAACGTTGAACACATATTCCTTTCAAAACCAAAAAGCAAAATAGAAAAGTGCACTTAAATAGTTTTCAAATTACCGTAAACCTGATTCATCACATCACAAATCACAATTAATAATTAATTAATGGGAAAATATTTCACAATTTATTACGAATCAAATTGATATGAAGGTTCTTATAAATGTTTTTTATAAATATATAGCTCTAGTGTATATATATTGCTACCGATTTAAATAACATTCTTTATTTAGTATTATCATTTTTATTAATATCCACAAATATTCGTGATTGGACGCACATAATGTTTAATTACAATTTTTAAACTCATCTTCGCTGTAATAATATTCAGATTCTCGTTTGTAAATGTCTAAATATTTATCTTAGCTATACTTTTCCTTACAACACGAGTTCACTTACAGTAGCTAAGAAGTTAGTTTGATGTGTCGTGAGAAATCGGACTCAGGAGGACTTAAAAGAAATATTCACTAAGACATAGTAATAATATATTTAATGAATCGTTTAATTATTAATTTTTTTTAATGAAAATTATATTTTGTTAAGCATAAAATACTTTATTTTTATTTTTTCATAAAAGAATAACCACCTAAAAAAGTTAATTTTAATATATTGAACTTCATTCTACCTTATAATGAAACCTAGCATATGAGGTCTAATTATTTCCTGTACTTTTTCATAATGTGAGTCAGTAGATAGGATACGCTTAAACAGAATACTCGGTATTACTTAATTTTCTTATAGAATACACATCTTTTTAATATTAAACTTATATGAATAAGATATTTATTTAAACCCATATATTCACCAGTAAATTTAAATGTTATGAAGGCCTTATTTTATTTTTTCTTATTACTATGTTTGTATACTATAAAAAATGGTATATCGTTTTCCTATTATCTATAATATTATCTTTTTTTTTCACAACTAACAACCCTCATGGTATCATGGAGAGGACAGATAGACGCTTAATTGATGGCTGGTCTCTCCAGATGAGTTGTATTGTACTCTTGAACTGCGTGATCTGTACGTATATCACTAGCATTAGAAAAAACTAAGCCATTGTTTGTATTTGTTACAGTTCCTTGCCCTCTACAACTGAATTATTAACTAACTTTTATAATTTTTGCATCTATTGAAGAGAGTTACGATCCCTCTAATAAACTCTAAAAAATAAGAAGTATGAAGTAAATTTTATAAGTAATAACAGTAAATATTATCGCTACCTTTAAAATTTTATGAGAAAAGCTATAAAACAGGAGAAATATGAAAATGAAATACCAGACATCGTATAGAGGATAGGGTTATTGGAAACCTTTTAAATTTTCTCATAGGTTATAGAAAACAAACATTTTTAAATTTCTCAACCACAAACGGTATTTAATGTTCCTTTACAGAATGTATTTTCTGCTTCAATGATTACTTTGGTATAATATTAGATCAAGGATAATATTACAAACTAGCTGGAACACGAACTATCGTTGGAGCATTTCTGGTCACGAAATGAAAACACTGATAATATAAAAGGTCTACATACTTTAGTTTCTTGTTGATTGGAACATCAAATTCATTTGTTTATATTGCCTCTCAGTGTATATACTACAATATTAAGAAATAAACTACAGAACAAAAATTTGATACCTGTGAAAATAAATTTATTATTATTGTTATGGTGACCTAGAAGTTAAAGGCCAACCTCTCGTGCATGTAGGTGCGGGTTCAAAACCTGGCAAGTATCAATGTGTTTCTTCCGAGTCATATGTATTTTTAAAAGTATTTAGACACCACTGACAAGCGGTGAAAGAAAACATCGTGAGTAAATATGGACTTAATTTCAAATTATAACTTTGAAATAGGCAGTCCACTTAGAGTAAGCGTAGTGATTGATTAATTAATTTTCCATGTGACAAGAGGTCGTTCCTCAAAAGACGGCACCAATAAGCTGATATAAAATTTTTATGCACTGATATTTATTTCTGCCACATTACAAATAACTTAGAATAAAACTAGCTTTATTTGTTATATTTTGTTAATAATAAATATTGCTGTCATATAAAGATTATAAATTCATGTATATTATTGTTAGAACTCAGCCTACCTTAAGGGTTTTGTTCGGAACGGAAACTAGTAGTGAAATATTCAGCGAAGCCTTCTCTGTTTTATTCATGCTTTTGTTAAGTTATAAGCATGCACATGCATAAATTGTGAGCAAACCATACTCTGTGTGCCTCTATTATTATTTTTTATTCACTCCTACTCAGATATATGTAATACATTATTTTAAAAAACATAAGTTGTTTTGGCTAATTTAATTTACAATTACTAACAAAGGAAAGTAAAGATTACCTTGAACTTCTTATTACGAAATGGCTTAGAAGACTTTCTGACTTTAAGTTATAACTTCGTAAATTTTAACAACAATATTTCCGTAAGATTTTTTTAACTTCAATTTTATAGATCTCGTAACAATAGCAGTGTAGTAATATCGTGTCGAACAACAATTTCAATATCGCTGAAGTACGAATTCATATTTCGTTATAATTGAAAAATTGATTGCCGACCTTTGCAGGCTCTGATCTCCGAATGTCTGCCTGTTTCGATAACAGCAGGTGAATCTGTAGTGAATATAATATTATTAAATACAATGAAACAGTACTATACATAATTCAAATGAATTTTAATTATGAACATTTTAGTCACTATGTATAACATAACATTATAACACTACAACCATATGAGCGCTATAAGATAAACTAGAACGAGACTGACTTTATTAATCTGAAGTAAAACTACTTCTTACCGATATTCAGAGCTACATAGCTGTGTAATGAGATATCGAGGCGGTAGTCACGGTATTCAGTGGTTATCAGTTACCAGATCACATCGTCCTTATCTTCCAGTTCGAAGAAGAGAGCGAGCCACAGCAAAGGAAATAGACAGAGCTCTTCGCAAGTATGGAGCTGCAATTAAGACTCTTAGATTAGTTATAGCTGTAGATAGGGCTCTATCTTGGTCAATGCTTATCAAAGAACTGGAGAGAAATCCGTGGTGGCACCCGTAACGTTGGGTACTGGACAAACTTAGACCATGGGTCTTTTGCTTTTTACAAGGCTGAGGTTCATTTTATGTAGTTGCCCCTTCATTAAAACTACTTAATACATAAAAAATGTTTTATATCTCTGTGATAACGTTTATATTATATTATATTTTTCTTATACAAAATTTTATATATAAAATTTATAAAACAAGCATAAGCTTTTTCGCCCTGGACTAGAAACAATGAAATTTGAATTATAATGTTACAAAGATAAATACATTAACTTGAAAGGAGTTGAAATCGGTTATAAAGTTTTCACAATCTAAGCAAATATTTTAATACTCTACCCTCATACTTTAATAAGGTTGAAAATAATTTTCCTACTTTTACTTTGATTACATAATGGAAAACCCGTATCACTTTTGTAGTTTATATCCATATAAAAGGTAGAACAAAATAATAGTTCGTTTTATTCTTGATCACAATATCTTTCTGTTTATTGAATGAACATCGATCCCTCAAAGTTTACTTAGGTATATTGGCACTTTATTGACTTCGAAGAAATATATATATTAAGATGAAAATTTTCTTTCAATACGATTATTATTTTGTTTTATTTAATTAATAAATGTAAATCACGCGAAAGGGAAGTCTATCATTCCTTTTTTTATAGAAATATATGACGGCGCTCCAATTTTGAATTTGTTTAATTAGAAAGTGTGCAATTATTGCCTTAAAATTTACTTTATTATAATTCATTTTGTCAAAATTGTTTCAGTTTTATCAGTAAAGTTATTCAGTCAGATATTTCAGTGTAAAAAGTAATTCAGTCGATTAATTAACTAATCAATAACATAAAAATTATGAGCGGCCAGTCCCGAATAGGGTAATTAGTATCACTAAGTGTGAGGATGGCGGTCATTCTATTGACAGCCGTCAAAAAAGTGCCCACTTGTAACTTATTGGTTCGTAATCTGTTTTCATCTGATTAATCGACTGGGATTTTAAATAAAGTAAAAAAAAAATCAAGTAATAAGATAATGGATAGTACAAGTGTGCTTTTATTTTTGAATTCCGTTTGTTACAAAAACTAGAGTGGAAAGGAACAGCCAAGATCGCCATGAGGCACCTTTATACATGTACATACACATTTTTTTGTTTACATAAGTGTACTTATATATATACAGGTCCCACTGCAACGAATTTTGATGAAATGTGTACTCATAGAAAAGCGGTTCAATTCATTGTATCTCCAAATTGACAGAATATTGAGGTACTTCAAAGTAGTGCAAAAGGCAATTTGTTCTACTGACAGATAGGAATCCAAACATCCATTTAGTCATATTGCATACATAACCAATATTGTGAACAGGGATTCAATCAATACATATTGACTTATTGAATTGTCCAAATTGTTTTTTTTTTGCTTACAACAAATCACAATTTTTATGTATAGTCATTATATTAATAATGTAGTTTTAAAAGAGTGCTTCAAGAACAACGCAAATGCAAGAGAAATAGTATATCTAAACAACTATTATAAGCAATTTCAGATAAAAATAAATGATATTCATTTTTTAGTTCAAATAAATCTGATCGTTTTATAGTCGTACATAACAATCTCTAACGTCCTCTAATATTTAATATTGTCGGTTCTATATTTCCAGTCCGTTTGTTCCTGTTATTCATTAAGTTACCTGCTTATTACATATTTAGTCATCTCCGCTCTTGTAATTAAGCTTATTCGTAGTCAGAAACTCTGTACAGAATTCAAATCTAAAGTTGTAAGCCAACTTACCCTACTTGTATCCGAGCTATATTATATGATAAAGTTAAACTGAACTTTTTACTGCTTTTATGTAATGGAGGTTAGGATCTGAAGCTAATATTGTACGGTTTTTTTTTTAAGTTTCTAAACTAACTAACTAAAATTAAAATAACTAACAAGCTAGAGCTTACTTCTTTTTCAAACTTTATAATTTTCCTTCCATCAAATGATTTTTATATCAGATATCAGAGTTCACTAACTTAAGTATTTGCTTTTTTTATTAAACATTTATTAAGAAACACATAATTGAAGTCTTTTAGTAAATAATATAAAGGTGAAGTTTCTGGTTATCTTCACCTAAAATCTGCTCTTTACTTCTTGGTCATAGCTACTCATTCAACTATAGGTTGTTCATACATATACATACATCTTTATTATTGATGTAAACGAGTTATACAATTTCAAATATATTAATATTTAAATACTCAAAATCTTCGGAAGTTATGAAGATGCAAACTCAACTAAAGAGAGCAGAGGCTCCCAATAGAGATAAGATTTTGACAGTATCTGTTTCCATGTCCGCAAAAAGGTCAGTCAATTGACTGAATGGTCATCCACATACGACCTTCTTGTGGCTGTCGTTCAGATTTGAATTGTGTCCATTTGCAAATTCAGTAATTGTGGATTAGTATCCATAGGATTAACTGGAATAGTAACAATACTTATTAAGATAATTAGATGCAGAGTAAGAATATTTCTGTGTACTTAATTTGGAAAAGCGTCTAATTAACATACTCGTAACCATAAGTTTTATTTTCAGGTAAATTAAATACAGGAAATTGTACTGCTTCATAATGCTCAATTTCATGTATATGTGTACGATATTGTTAGCCTGTTGATAAATATTTTCTGGTAAATGAAATCCATACGCCGTTATTTTTTTCATTATACATATTGTAATAAAATTGTTAAGATTGCAACTGTATTATTGGTCTTCTGAACCTTTATAATGTTTTATAAACCATACTTTATTGATAAAGCTTCTAGTAGATTAAGATTAAATATAATGATATCAATTTTTCCCTATAATTTATATATTTCAAACGCAATTTTTTTATAAGATTTTAAGTGTATGAAATATGAAATAATAGTACTGATACGTATTTTTGTACATTCCTTACATGTTAAGAGCCTACTTACATATTATTTCATTGTTTTTATACGAATTATTATTTTTTTGTTTATGAAAGTACTCTCGTATTCTTCCTTTTTACATTCAACAAAGCGGTGTGTGCTTGTAATTTATACGCGTGCGTGCTTACAAGGTTACAAATGCATGAATAAAACGTAGGAAGCTTCGTTGAATAATATGTCAGTTTTTGTTTACAGGCAAAACAAAATTTAATCGTTATTCTTTGTTTGTTTTAACCATTTATTTAAATGCGCCTTTTAATAAAGTAATAGAAGTCAAACTGTTGGAATATCACTATACCAGAAATATTTCAAGGAGGCTTTCAGGACCGATTATTTTCAGACACCTACGATAGAAAAAATAACTCTTACTATCTTAAAAATGTTAATATGTAACGTAATATAAGATCTATTTATAGAAACTCGGTTTCTATTAATACGTGTGTATATTAATTTATATTAAGAAGTAGATCAATTTGAAGTTTTAATAAAAGCTACGTAAGTGGCAAGCATGGGGAGCAGTACCTAAGGTATATGGACTCCTGAAGAAAATGTAGTGTAGATGCAAAATAGAGTTCTCTCAGTAATAAAAACGTGCAACGATGCTTTTGCAGTTTGATTTGGGTAGATAATTTTAAAGTAAAAACCTTTGAGAAAATGTCATTAAAAAAACCCGATAAGAGGTAAAATGAGCTCAAAGGTCATAGTTGTCCACAATGACGAGTATAGTGTGCCTATCTGCATCGTCAGTGGTTAACAACATTGGGTACACAAGCCACCTGTAAACACTTTAAAGACCATACTTTTAAAGTTCCAGTAAATTGTTGCAACTGACATCGCCTGAAAAAATGTCATATATGAACATAGTAACATTACTTTGTGCAAGTCTTGCTACTACTGGTGATGTGGTTGTGTGACAATTGCATACGAAGATGTTATATAGTTTTCGTACTGCCAAGAGTTGTCCTTATGCAGCATGTATTTTTAAGAGCACCAGTGCAAAAACTATCTAAGTTACTTGAACTCTTTTAAATATTTCGGTTTTCAAATACCTAATCGCTCCTTTGTACTTTCATGGACTTATGACAGTTTAGTAAAATTTAGATTATGTGAGAAACGTTACCATACTTTAAAGTTTATAATGAGGTCATATTAAGGTTAATGTGAGGACTATTTATTAGTAGGTTCCAGAGAAGCGCCGAGGCTGAGCCTTTTAAGAAATAATTGGATTGCCATACAAATATATGTTTCTTGGGCGACTATACCAATCAATTTGAGCAGCATGAGCATAATAAGCTTATTCCACATAGATCATCACTTCTACCGACACTTAAGTTCATCTATTTAAACTACATCTCTCTTTCCTATGTTTCACATAAAAATAACTTCCACACAAACTCTATGGTTTATAAGATCTCTCTAGTAATTTTTATCTTAGACCTTACTTTATAACTATTTACTTTAAATGTTAATGTTTACAGTTTAAATCTTCTATCTTCTATATATATAAAAATGGATTGCTGTTCCTTAGTCTCGCTAAAACTCGCGAACTCCTGAACCGATTTATCTTATCTTAGTCTTGAAATACTCCTGGAAGTCCAGGGAAGGTTTAAAAGGTGAGAAAAATTGAAATAATTGCCGGGAAAATCCTAAAAACAGCCCTTTTCTATTTCCCATACAAACGGTTTTTTGACATTCGATTTGACAACCAACTAATATGTCAATCATTCTGTTCGATTGAAACAGGAGAAACCTGATTATTAATGGCCTCTTAAACGGAATAGAGTTCGCCCGGTCAGCTATACATATATTACTAATGACGAAATTAACGCGGACGAAGTCGCGGGCGAAGACTAGTATGAAATAAAATGACATCATACAAGTAACAAAAATTTACATGCTTTAAATTATCATCGACAAGATTTTATAAATTATTATTGATTAATATATGGACCAAAAACTAAATCAATTGACTTTTATAGCCCTAGTTTATAATTAACTATATTTACACTGAGTAAACTTTGTTTTGCTTAAAAATGTATACATTTATGATGAAAAAATTCAT